CCCCGCCAGTTTTGATTCAGCAGGTCTGGGTGGGCCTGAGAATTTGCATTTCTAACAAGTCCAGGTTATGCTGCTGGTCTGGAGTCACGCTGAGAACCACTGTCACAGAGGTTAAACAAAAGTGTTTTCTAAATACTCCATTTAAAGCAGCCCCTTCTCACTCCCTTACCCTGGTTTATTTTTCTTAAGAGCACTTACCATTACTTGACATTATATATTATATATTTGCCTGCTTTTTGTTTGTCCTTGGTAAGGTCCAGGAGAACAGGAGCTTTGTTTTGCACACTCTTGTAGTCCCATCTTCTAGAACAGTGCCTGGCACTTAGTAGGAACTAAAAAGTATTTGTTGCTTGAGTGAACATGCCTTTTGGAAGGCATTTACCAAAGCTGAAACTGTGCGAGTGAAAAAGGTCACTTAGGAAGAGAGGGGAAGAGGAAAGGAGAAGGGCCAAGGACAGACCCTGGGGTGCACGGACATTTAATGGAATAACAGAAATAGAAAGTAGAGCAGAAAGCTAGGAGCCAAGCCCATGCGTTAGCGTCATGGAAACCCACAGAGGAGAGATTTTCAAAAAGGGAGTAGACACCAAGAGTAAACAGCAGAGGTCATCTAAGATGAAAAGACTGAAAAGTCCTTAAGATTTGTCCACTAGAGCATTTCTCATTAATGATTTTGCTAAAAATAACTTAAGCTGTCCAGAGTAGCAAGCAGATTGCTTTAGATTGAGTAGTGAATGGTGGATGAAAAAGTGGGAAAAAATGAGTGTGGATTGTTTATTCAAGGATTTAGCCATGGAGGAATGGCTAGAGGGAGATGTAGGTCAAAAGAAAGTGTTTTTCTCTCTCTCTCCTTCTGTACGTTGTGTGTGTATAAGATAAAAAGTATTAGAGCATACTTTTATGTTATAGGAAAGGAGTCTGTAAAGAGTTGTTGAATATACAGGACTGTGTAATAATAACCAAAGGTAAAAGTGATGGTCCTAGAGGAGTTGAGGGGATAGACTCAAGAATGGGATGGATGGGTAGGATGGATGGCCCCTCACCCCCTGAGGCCATTGGGAAAGATTGAGAGGGGCTAGTTTTGAGGCCTGGGCTGCAAGTTTAGGGGGTTCATGTATGAAAGCCTCCATTTTCTCTGGAGTTTGAGCAAAGTCATTTTCTAGTGGCAAGGCAGGAGTGAGTAAGAAGTGTAAGAGGGATGGCAAAGGCTTGGAATAATTACTGTGGGAAATAGAATTGAACAGTGGTGTCAGATGGCCCCAAATTGGGCATAATGTTAAAAAAGCTTTGGCAAGCAGGAATGCTGTATTGGTTCTATCACCAGCTTCTAACTCACCCACTCCCTCACTGTGTTTTTCAAAAGATTCTCTCAGTCTTGTCATGAGGCATATATTAAAGCTTCAGAAGCTTAAAAACACACACACAAAAACTCTTTACTGGCTGTTTTCTGAGGCAGGAATGCTGGTAGGAGCAGCTGCACTTGAAATACACTCCCAGATGCAAGCAGGGATGGGAGGAGACCAGGTGGAGACAGTTAATTACCAGGAGAAAAGTGGGCTCTGGTCATTATAATAGGCAGCACGGTGGAAAACATATTGGTTTGACTCACAGAGCTTTCTAGTTGTGGTTAATTAATTGTAGGATCCCAAGGAATGAACTCCAAAAATGACCCACTAAGTCCTTTTTGATTTGTGTAACAACAAAAGCAAACAAACCCATAAAACACAATACTAGGTCTGGGGGACAGAGGCCTCTCATGAGCAAGAGAGACATGATTTGTCACCCTATTCCCAGAACTAAAGCAGATCGCAGGCCCGGGGCCTCTTGAGTGTAGCCTAAATGTTCTTAAGGAAGGATGCTGCCGAAACACTGTACCAAAGTACTGAAAACTTTCATCCTAGCCTTTCCCCTGAGGCCTTGTGATCCTCTATGGATAACTGCTCTGGAGAAAAGGAAGTACCTAAACTTTGCCATGACTATCACTTACTAATTACAAACCAACACTAATTTTTGGGACCCAAAATATCACTGTTTACCATCAACATTCTGAGCTTAAAGGGGTTAGGTGATAAATGAGTTAATTCTGGCCCAAGTTCACCTTTAGGCAGGGCTAGGGGGACTGTGAATTCATCCTATGGTTATGTACCCTACCTGCCAAGTGAGTAGGTGGAACAAGTGATCTTAGCAACTGACAGAATTCCTACATTGGTGCATTCACTCACTGAGTAAGGGCTATTCTGGTAGGAAGTGCCAAGTGGAGTCCCAAAATTGTACATCAGAAGCATGACACACACCTGGAGAATTGCAGAGGTGCGTGTCACCATCAAAGGAGTGAAAGATGTGGGTGTGATGGTTTTCACTGCATTCCCGTTGGCTTCCCAGGTTAGCCACCACAAAAGACTGACAGGTCTTGGAGAATGACAGTGCATTATTGTAAACCCACCAAGTGATGATTCCAATTGTAGCTACACTCCCAAATGGGGTCTCCTTGTTGAAGCAACTCAGACAGTCCCTGACACTCAGTTTGCAGTTATTGATCTGGGATTTAGCTTCAGAATATCTTTTTAAAAATCTCTCTTTTTTCACATTATGCAGCAATAACTTTCTAGATGCAATCATTAGGTTTATATTTTTATATTAGTTTCTTCACTTTAAAATGGGGGATAATTGTAACTTTCTCAGAGTAATTGGGAAGAAAATTAGATAATCTATGTAAAGAGTATGTAGTTAAGTGCTCAATATGTGTTACCTGTTATCTCAGATAATGGGGAATGAGAATCTGAAATAATGTGTTTTTTCAATTCATTCATTGTTCATTTTGCAGGAGTCATTCTCAAATTATTTAGTGAGATGATAAACTTTCTGAATCCTTGCATGTCTGAAAATGTTTTTTCTTTTCCCCCACTTGAATGCTGATTTGGCTGGGTAAAGGATTCCGGTTTCAGCTTTGAAGTTATTGTCCCACTGAGAAATCAAATGGCAATCTAATTTCCATTGCTTTATAGGTAACATATTTCTATATAAAAACTCTTGATTCCCTTTCTCCTAGGCTTTGTCTAGGATGGGATCTTTTTTCATTAGTTATTCTAAGGACTTAGTGGGCCCTTTTAATCAGAAAATCTGGGACATTTTCTTCTTTTTTAACCCCTTAACTCTCACCACCATTCTTTCTGCTGTTTCTATATCATCTGTCATTCAGATGTTGGAATGTCTGGATCCATTCTTCACATCTCATCATTTTCCTTTTTGTTAATTTGCTATTTAGCCCTGTCCATTCTGCTATAAACCAGCGCATAAGTCTCTTCTATTTTTTTTCTTTCAGGGATTCCTCAATATTCCTGGCTCATTGATGGAACATTTTGTTCCCCAGAGCGTTTTTTGGATTTAATATGTCATGGGAGATAAGACAGATGTGTGTGCTCAGGTTTCCTTCTTGATTCAGATTCCTTATCTTTTGGTTTGTCTGTTCCTTTAGATTGTACATTTTAAGGTGAAAGTCTTTATATTATGCCTTTCTATTCTATACCTCAAACTACTGTTTTCTGGTTTTCAAAGACCTTATAAATCTGCTTCATTCCATCTATCCAATAAATACATCCCCAGGTTATTTTCCCCAATACAGCCTCTTCTTTAGTTTCCCACCTCTGGTATCTCCAGTGGTGCCTGGAATGTTCTCCATTCATTCAAGAAGCTCCCCTCGCCCCTCCCATTCCTCTCTTCAGGGAGCCTAAGCTGCATCTAGCTCTGTAGTGATTCTCCACCAAGCGTCAGAATTGCCTGTAATTTCCTCCAAAGAGACCTACTGAATCAAGATCTCTGCTGATCAGACCTAGGCGTCTTTTCTCCCCCTTAAATAAGCTCCACAGGTGATTCTGAGGCACACCCGGGTTAAGATCCTCGCGGCCTCCTCCTCCCGTCGTAAGGCGGGACGGCCCCCTGCCCGGAGGTGGTTGGAAGGGTTCTCCCGCCGCAGCCCCACCTCGCGCCTTCCAGTCACGTCGGAGGAGGAGGTAGGCTCCGGCGACCCCAGAAGGCAGCCTACGCTGCCTGGGAGTCCAGCCAAGCGGCCCCGCAACCCCAGACGAGACCCCCGAGCGGCCAGTCCTGCCCAACCGTCACACGGGCCGCGCGCCCCCGGGGCTGGCGTGCGGCGCCCGGGCGCACCCCGCCGGCCCTCGGGCACCGGTGCGCAGGCGCGCGGGCCGCCTCCGCAGCTGCTCTGCGTTGGCCGCGCGTCTCGGGAGCGCGTTGGGCTCTCCCGCCGGCAACCGCAGCGCCGGCGCGGGGGCGAGACGGGGGAGGGGCGGCCGGGCAGGGCCGCAGAGGGGTTCTCCGCCTGCCTCTTTCACCCCAGGTCGTGGACAGTCCCCGGGTAGGTGGAAGGATAGCTCCCCACTCCGCCAGGGGCAGTGAGAAACGTTGGCGGCAGAGCGGGGAAGGGGACCCCCTCCCCGGGTAGAATGGAGACGGGGCGGGGGAAGAGGAGGTGGTTGACTTCGTAAGAGGACGCGGCGAGCCTGCCAGTCGGTGTGGGCTGGAGAAACTACGCCGGCGCGAACGTGCTTACATGGAGCCCCCTCCTGGCCCTGGGGAGGGCGGTACTGCGTTTGCCCGGTTCCCAGTCCTGGTTCCCAGAGAGTCGACGAGAGATTCTTTCTCTCACGAAGTTTGCAGTGTGGACTAAGACCCCAAGCAAACCCCAGTTAACCCTTCAGCAAAAACCAGCCAGGAACTTGGACTTCTACACGTTAGCTAGTGGCAGTGATTTCTTGAGACCCACGTTGGTTAATCAAGACAGGTTGAGCTTTACAGTTTGAATTGTGGGGGGAGCTGCGCAAGTTTTAGAGGACACTCGCAATACTGATTCTGCCTTAACCACTTAAAACTCGCATCTCGGTTTTATATTCCGCTATTGGTCGTTTTAAACTTTTTTTTTTGGTTGGGGGAGGGCGTTTGTCTGCTTTTCCTCATGAGCAGTGTTTCTTAAATCCTGTAGGGTACAATGTCTGAACAAGAGCGTATACAGGAATGCCTGAGGAAAGAAATAAGGTCGCTTCTCATTTCCACCAAAGATGGTTTGACCCCACAGCAGTTGGAAGAGGAGTACCTTTCCATGGTTGGCAACCATTTACCACTCCGAATCCTTGGGTACCGATCCACTATGGAGCTGGTGTTGGACATGCCTGATGTTGTCAGTGTCTGCCCCTGTGGGGATGGTACCATAATATTGAAAGGTAGGTTTAAGATTTGAAGGTCTATAAACTTTGTAATAATAAGTCTCTTAGTAAAGAATTGTTCTGGCACTCATCCTGCATCCCAGGCAGGGACTTTTAATTTTTTGATGGGAAAGGGGATCATAGGCACCTTTGAGGTTGTGGGCAGAGTTAGAGCTTTAGCAAAATCAAGAAATCTTTCCCCAGAAAAATGTGCATTCATAAAAACTAAAAACTACATTTTGCATATGATTTCAGATTATTGCACCTTAAATTGGGAGAAACATAACAATGGGACTTTTTAGTTGTGAAATCATATCTTAAATTTCACGAAGTACAAAAAATTATCGTAGGGAAGTTTATTATTCATCTTGAGTTTCCGATCTTTCAGGAGTCAATTAGCAGTAGTGATAATATATTGATCTTGACCTTTCTCTCTTCATCCTCTGGTAGAGGAGCTAACAAGCCATTGTCTAAAATGCAAGAAAGGGAAGAAGCAAGGTTTCATGTTTATCATGCTAGCTAGGATACACAGTTCCTTGGAGAGTTAAAAATTGTATAGCCACCGATACAAAGGATAAAGAAGGGAGTGAGTTTTCACCTAAATAAGATTTCTTTTTTCACACCTCCTTAGCCATTCCAGATGAATCCACCAAAAGAATAGCAAGTTTAGTTGCCAAACAGAGGAGCAGCCATAAAGTTCGAAACTCCATGCAGAAGGGAAGGGCCAGTGCTTGCTCTGGGCCAAGCTCTCGTCCGCGAGTACCTTACCGAGGAAGGGTGCCCCCTATTCTTCCAGCTGTTGTGAAGAGTGAGTTGAAAGACCTCTTGGCGTTTTCTCCTGTTCTCCTCTCTGATTTTGAAAAGGCATTTACCAAGCGATTTGGACGATCATTCCAGTATGTGCAGTATGGATTCCTTTCTATGTTTGAAGTGCTGAATGCCGCTTCGGATGTTATTTCTGTAGAGCAGACCAGAGCAGGTTCTTTGTTGGTGCTAAAGAAGAGTGTATCAGAGGAAAAGCAGAGAGGATGGCCAGCAGGTAAGCAAGTTAGCATTCGTAACTACTGTGGAACAGCAAATTCTGAAGCAGTCGTGGCACATATAGAAGTATGTAAGCTCCAAGAGTTTGTTGAAGTTGAATCCTGGCTCTACCCACTTGCTAGCTGAGTGATCTCAGGCAAGTTACTTAAAATGTCTAAGCCTTAGTTTCCTCATCTTTACAATAGGAGTAATAATACTTGCCTCTTGGAGTTGTGCTGAGGATTAAATGAGATGAGGTCTGTAAAGTGCCTGGCATTTAGTAAGCTTATAATAACTGGTAGGTATTATTACAAAAACAAGATCAGTTCTCTCTAGAGCACTGAAAATGAGCATTAGTTATATGTGTTCATGTAAACAAGATATAACATGGAAAATGAAAAGTTTTAAAAATAGTAGTTAGAGGGGCCGGCCTGGTGGCGCAAGCGGTTAAGTGTGTGCACTCTGCTGAGGTGGCCTGGGGTTTGCCGGTTCGGATCCCAGGCGCGCACCGACGCACGGCTTGGCAAGCCATGCTGTGGCGGCGTCCCATATAAAGTGGAGGAAGATGGGCATGGAAGATGAGGGCCAGTCTTCCTCAGCAAAAAAAGAGGAGGATTGGCAGATGTTAGCACAGGGCTGATCATCCTCACACAAAAAAAGAAAAAATTAGCATTTGCTGTCTGATCTTGCCTGTCACTGATTTTTGGTATCGTAGCAGGCACTGCAGTAATTTGTATATTGTAATGATAACCACCTTATTTGTATAGCATTTTACCTTGGATTCTCTTGGTGGTACCATAGACAAGTTAGGGTGAGTAACCTCATCTTATAGATAAGGAAACCAATGCTCAGGAAAGTTAAATGACTTTTCCAGAGTCACATGGCTGGAGTCAATAGGTAGTCTGTAGTCTACTGCCTTTCTGTAGTTGTATTCAGGTGACCTTAAGTGGAGTTTTAGGTAGCCCCAGCCTTTTCAGTAATACACTTAGGATCTCTTGGTTTTCTTTTACAGATGTCTAATCACTTCCATTATAAGTAAATTTTGTTGGCTTATAATGAAAATGTAAGCTTAATTTCTTTAATTTTTAGTTGTAAGTTGAGGGCAGTTAGCTCACAGTAGCCTCTGTATATAACCACCAGAAAATAAACTAGAAATTCTAGTGACAATGTTTTTCTCCTTTTATTCACAAAAGGTAAAATTTTTACCCAGCCTTTTAGAATGAAACAACAAGGGTCATACCCCACAAGCTCCCCAGCAGCAAAGACACGCTTTTCACAACCCACTTCAAACATGGAACCACCAAAGCAAATACTGAACATGGACAAGACTTCTAAGTCAAATGTAGTGGAGACTTCAAGGCTGAATCACACTGAAAAGTTAAACCAGGTGAGATATCCGAGTTTGGGGATATAAATACACCGAAAATGTGTTTAAATTCAGTGGTTATTACTTAGATTTGATGGAAAAGCTGACCTTTAAAAATTCAAGTCATTCACTTATTTCAGATTTAAGCATTTTCTATGGTTCTGTGGGTTAGTAAGAAGTGCGAGGTGGCAGTGAGAAAAGAGTACAATTTTATCAACTCCATGGTTTCTACTGTTTTCTTTAGATGACTCCCAAATCTGTATTTCTAGTTCCAGCTTCTCACCAAAGTTACAGAAGCATATTTGCAATTTACCTCATGAGTATCTTCACCTGAATGGCTGGCCCTGAGCACTATAGTACTGGTATTTTTCTGGGACTGCAGTGCTAAAGGACCTTGAATAAAAACTGCTGGCATATAACCAACAAAGTCTTGGTTAAGTTAGCCAGATAACCAACAAAGTCTTGGTTAAGTTAGCAAGATAACAACTTAAGCAGAGCTCAGAATAAGCACATGGAAATTAAATTCAAGACATAAAAGTGCCTTATTTCTATAACTTAAAAAAATTAGCTTTAGTAACATAATTTACATATAGTAAAATTTACCCGTTTTAAATGTACAGTTTGAGTTTTGACGAACGTTTCTAGTCATGTAATCACCACAAAATCAAGAAAGGGAACATTTCCATCATCCACCAAAAGTTCCTTCATGCCACTTTTTAGTCGATCTCTTGCCCCAACGGCAGGTATAGGCAATCACTGCTTTCTATAACTATAATTTTGACTTTCCAGGAGTTTCATATAAATGGAGTTAACATCTAGCCTTTTGTGTCCAGCTTCTTTAACTTAGCATGATGCTTTTGAGATACATCCAGTATGTATCAGTAATTTGTTCCTTTTTCAGGTTGAGTATCATTCCACTGTATTGATAAACCTCAATTTGTTATCCATTTCCCATTAGGTGATATATGGCTTCTTTCCCGTTTGGGTATTATGAATAAAGCCACTATGAACAAAGTATGCACACTTTGTATGAACATAGATGTCGTTTCTCTTGGGTAAAACCTAGCAGTAGGATTGCTGGGTCATACAGTAAGTGCATGTTTAACTTTATAAGAAAATGCCAAACTGTTTTCTAAAGTGGCTTATGATTTTACTTTCTCATGAGCTATGTATGCGAGTTGCAGTTGCATCTGTGTGAACATTTGGTATTGTCCATTTTTAAAATATTAGCCATTTGAATGGGTGTGTAGTGGTATCTCATTACGGTTTTAATCAAAGTTTCTCTAATGATGAATGATGTTTGGCATCTTTTCATATGCATATTTTCCATTTGTATATCTTTGAAGTGTCTATTCACATCTTGCTCATTCTTAAAAATTGAAATGTCTTTGTATTGAGTTAGAAGAATTATTTATGTATTCTGGATACAAGTCCTTTGTACAAGAGACATGTTTTGGAAGTATTTTCTCCTGGTGTATACTTGTCTCTTCATTTCCTTAATTCTGTCTTTTGTGAAGCAGGAGTCTTTAATTTTGATGAAATCTAATTTATATTTTTCTTTTGATTCTTGTCTACCTAAATAGGTCTTTGCTTAAGCCAAAGTCACAAAAATTATCTCCTGTGTTTTCTTCTAGAAGTTTTATGATTTCACCTCTCAGGTCTATTATCCATTTCAAGTTAATTTTTGTATAAGGTACCAGATATAGATCACAGTTTTCTGCATATGGATAGCCAATTATTCCAACACTATTTTTTGAAAAACACTTTTTTCCTCACTGAACTATCTTATTACTTTGGAACCTCCGTTAAAGCTCTTGACCTCATGTATGTGTAGGTCTGTTTCAGGACTCTATTCTGGTCCATTGATCTACGTGTCTGTCCATTTGCCAATACCACACTATCTTGATTCCTGTAGCTTGATAATATCTTGAAATTATATAGTTAGGTCCAGCAACTTTGTTTTTTTTCACATTGCTTTGGTTCTTTGCATTTCCATATAAACTTAATTTGATATAAATCAGCTTGTCAGTTTCTACTAAAAATAAATGTGGCTGTTGTTGATTTCATTCACGTGTGGAAGATAAACACATGGACAAAGAAAACAAATTAGTAGTTACCAGAGGGAAAGGGGGTTGTGGGTTGGGCAGAAGGGTAAAGGGGTACATGTATATGGTGACAGATAAAAATTAGACTGGTGGTGGTGAGCACAATGCAGTCTATACGGAAACTGATAAATAATAATGTACACCTGAAATTTCACAATGTTATAAACCATTATGACCTCAATAAAAAAACAAAACAAACGATAAACATGGCTATTGTGACTTTGATTAGAATTGCATTGGATCTATGGATAAGTTTGGAGAAGATTGACATCTTAACAGTATTGAATCAGCTGATTAGTGACCATAGTATATCTCTCCATTTATTTAAGTCTTTAAATTCTCTCAGCACTGTTTTTGAGGAACCTCCATACTGTTTTCCATGTGGCTGCACCAATTTACATTCCCACCAGCAGTGCACCAGGGTTCTGTTTTCTCTACACCCTTGCCAACACTTGTGATTTCTTATCTTTTTGATAAAAGTCATTCTAACAGGTGTGACGTGATATCTCATTGTGGCTTTGATTTGCATTTCCCTAATGATTAGTGATTTTGAGCACCTTTTCACATACCTGTTGACCGTCTGTATATCTTCTTTGGAAAAATGTCTACTCAGATTCTCTGCCTCTCTTTTAATCAGATTTTTTTTTTTTGCTATTGAATTGTATGAGTTCTTTATATATTTTGGATATTAACTCCTTATCAAATATATGATTTACAAATATTTTCTCCCATTTGGTAGGTTGCCTTTTCATTTTGTTGTTGGTTTCCTTTGCTATGCTCAAGCTTTTTAGTTTAATGTAGTCTCACTTGTTTTTTTTTGCTTTTGTTGCCTTTACTTTGGTGACAAATCCAAAAAATTATTGCCAAGACGGATATCAAGGAGCTTACCATATATATTTCCTTCCAGTAGTTTTATGGTTTCAGGTCTTATGTTCAAGTCTTTAGTCCATTTTGAGTTAATTTTTGTATATGGTGTAGTAGAGTTATAGCCTTTTTATAATAAATCGGTAATCTAGTAAGTAAAATGTTTCTCTGTGTTCTGTGAGCTGCTCTAGCAAATTAATTGAACCCAAGGAGGAGATCGTGGGAACCTCTGATACAGGCACTTGGTCAGAAGCACAGGTAATAGCCTGGGCTTGTGATTGGCATCTGAAGTGGGGGATGGGGGGCACATGCAGTCTTGTAGGACTTGGCCCTTAACCTGTGGAATCTGACCCTGTCTCCAGGTAGATAGTGTCAGAAATGAGCTGAATTGTAGGACACCCAGCTGGTGTTGGAGAATTGCTTAGATGTGGGGGAAAACCCACGTATGCCTTGTAATTGGAGTCAGAATCTTATAGGGTTTTTAAAAAAAGTCTGTTTATATCATAAATTACATTGATTTTTTTTTTAATGTTAAGCCAACCTTATATTGCTGGATGAATCCCACTTGTTCATCATGTATTGTCCTTTTTATATATTGCTGGACTTAATTTGCTGATATCTTAAGGATTTTTATGTTCATAAGGTTTATTGTTCTGTAGTTCTTTTCTTGTAATGTTTTGTCTGGTTTTGGAATCATGGTAATACAGGCCTCTTGAAATGAGTTGGGAAGTTTTTCTTTATTCTGAAAGAGTTTGTATTAGTTTTTCTTAAATATTTCAAAGAATTCATCAGTGAAGCAAACTGGGCTGGGGGTTCTGGGCTGGGGGTTTTCTTTTGGAAAGATTTTCAACTATAGACGCAGTTTCTTTAATAGATAAAGAGCTATTCAGATTATTCATTTCTACTTGAGTGAGCTTTGGTACTTTATGTTTTTCAAGAAGTTGTCCATTTCATCTAAGTTATCCAATTTGTTGAAGTAAAGTTGTTTATAATATTCACTCAGTATCTTTTTAAGGTCTGTAGGATCTGTGGTGAAGCTCCTCTCATTCCTAATACTGATAATTTGTGTCGTTTCTCTCTTTTTCATGATCAGTCTGACTAAAGATTTATCCATTTATTTTTCAAAGAACCAGCTTTTGGTTTTATTGATTTTTCTGTTTTCTATTTCACTTGTTTCTGTGGTTATCTTTACTATTTCCTTCTTTTTATTTACTTTGGCTTAGTTTTCTCTTCTTGCTCTTAAGGTAGAAGTTTGATTGTTGATTTTGGTCCTTCTTTTCCAGTATAAACATTTAAGGCTATGAATTTACTCTAAATATTGCTTTAGCTGCATCTCACAAATTTTGATATGTTATATTTTCATTTTCATTCAGTTCAAAATATTTTCTCATTTCCCTTGTGATTTCTTCTCTCTTATGGATTATTTGGAAGTGTGTTGTTTAATTTTCAAATATTTGGGGATTTTTCATAAATGTTGTTGAGTTCTAATTTAATTTCATTGTGTTCAGAGAACAGTCATTTAATTTCTTGTAAATTTGTTGACACTTGTTATATGGCCCATAATATGTTTGTCTTGGTGAATATTTCAGATCCACTTCAAAAGAATGTGCATCTTGCTATATTTGATTAGAGTGTCCTATAAGTGTCAGTTAGTAAAGTTAGTTAGGGTGTAATTCAGGAATTCTATATTTTTACTGATGTTTTCCTACTTTTGCAATGAATTACTGAGGGAGCAGTATTGAAACCTTCAAATATAATTGTGGATTTGTCTATTTTACCTTTTATCTTTAGATATTTTTGAATCTCTGTTAGGTGCATACACATTTAGGATTGATATGTGTTCCTGATGAATTGCCCTTTTTATCATTATGAAATATCTCTCTTCATTGCTCATCATATTCATTGTTCTGTAGTCTACTTGGATATTGCCATAGTCATACCAGCTTTCTTTAGATGTAATGTTAACATTGTGTATCTTTTTACATCCTTTTATTTTTAACCTACTTGTTTTACTTATAAAATGGGTTTCATGTAGGCAGCATATAGTTGTGT